GTAGGACGTTTACTAGTAGATCCCTTTTCAGTCGACTTATAGCTATTAAGCCAAGGAGACGACTTCGATCGGTCAAAGTAGTGGCTGGGGGATTTGTACAAGCTGCTTATTTGTTTGTGAAGCTCAAAATTTTTTCTTGAAGTAAGTTGTTCTCCACCGGATATTCTTCAAGCTGAATATCCCAATCTTTCTTTTCATTCCTCAACTTGTTATATTATTCAAGTTGGATCTCCCAATCTTTCTTCTCATGTATCAACTTGTTATATTCTTCAAGTTGGATCTCCCAATTCTTCTTCTCTTTCCTCAACTTATTATATTCATTGAGAACTTTCTCAAGGTCGTTGAGAACTAATTCAATACTTTTCTGCAATTCATTACATTTATCGCAATGAGTAATAGGAGTAGGACATACCTTTTCAGTTTCTCCTATTGCCATGAATCATAGGTTCTCTATTTTTTCGCGATCCTTCTCTTCTTCAGATTCATCCTCGTTGCTCCAAGATTTGTAATTCTTTTTCTTGAGATCACAATCCAGAATAGCATTAAAGCACACCTCGTCAGTTTTTCCACTTTCCTTGAGACATATGTTTGTCATTTCTTCTTGATCATCCTCATCGCTCCACGTTAAGATTCTATGATTCTTCTTCTTGAGGTTAGGACATTTTAATTTCATATGTCCAGGTTTACCACATTCGTAGCAGCATACGTTCTCGTGTTGTTAAACCTCATTCTTGTGGTTCTTTTGATGATTCTAGATGGATTGAGATTTTCTATTCTGCTTCTTTCTACTCTTCTTTTTTCTCGTCCTGGGTATCACGGCCAAGTCTTCTCAATCTTTACTATTTTCAGATTCTTTAAGAGTTGACTTGGATTCAATTTTCTTAACTTTGTTTGTGTCCCCATGGATATTTTCCAATCTGTCCCATATAACTTTAGCAGTCTCACAGGTGGATAATTTCTTATATTCTTCTTCACTAATCGCACAATAGAGCATGTTGATTTCTCTAGTGTTTGTTAGCATAATATCCAACTGTTCTTTTGTGTAGTCAAATATGGATGCCTTTTTAAAAGTTTCTTTCCATCATTGTTGTTCGAAATAGACCTTGGTCCATTATGAATGAATAGCCAGGCTCGAAAATCCATTGATTGAACATAAACCTTCATGCTTTCTTTCCAATGGCTATAATATTGACTATTGAAGTACGGTGGCCTTCTTGTTGAGTAACCCTCTTGAACTTGAAGTAAGGTTCCAGTAATTTAATGACATGCCATGGATCTTTTCTCACTTGCTGTTAAATAAAAATAAGGATGTGAGACCTGCTCTGATATCAATTGAAAGTATAAAGGGGGGGGGGAGGGGATGAATTGTACGCCTGTTAAAATTTTTGTCAACTACGGTATACACTTAGTCGACCGATGCGGAGACAGTCTGCACAAAATCGTTAGTCCTTCAATTTAACCAAGTGCAAATTATAAGAAATAGTAAAGGTGCAGAATATAATATGAGAGCGATAAAGTAAATGACACCATGAATTTTTATACTGGTTCGAAACCAACGTGGTATCCTAATCCACTCCTCTTGGGTTGCAAGAGTGTTATCTTTTAGAGTTTTTTGTAAATTGGGTTGAGTACAACTTTTGTGGTTTCTAGCATTCACCACCAATGTTTAGAAGGGTTGATTTTCACTCGCTCACCAACAAACAATAAAGGGTTGGTTTTCACTCGCTCACCAAAGAAACGAACAATGACACACCTCTCAGTATTTTTCCCTTTCTCTCTATCTTTTATGACACTTATAAACTTAAGAATACAGTGTTTAACTAAGGTGTAGGAAAGTTGTCTGCGAAGCTGGTGCTGAGAAGTGTCTTCGACTCTTCTTTAAATAGTTGTTCGTCTTGATGCAGTATCATCAGTTCATATTTGTTGAAGATCTTCCTTTATATGGTTTAATGATTTTCCTCATAATTTAAGTGCTTGGTTCTTTTTGAGATTTGACTGTTGCATGATATTCCTTTTGTACCAGCAACATCATTAATTCCCTTTCCATAAATTAAGTGCTTCAAATTGTATTTGAATAGCAAATCTCCTCTATATAAGATAACAGACCTTTAACGTTGCTTTTACCATGCTTGGACTTGGGCTTCTTTATCTCATTAGGAGAGAATCTTGATTTAAGGAATGATTCTTTAATGATTGATCTCATTCCTTTTATAACTCATCACCAATATCTCCTTATTCATTGCCTACGTAAGAACTTGCAGAATATTTAGCTACTGTCTTTTCTTTTGTGCAAGATCATGTCCCATATTTAACCTCATTCCATTCTCTATAATTTTCTTCTTTGTTCTTGGAATATAATTTCTTACTATAATATTGTAGTAAGAATATTCTTTTCTTCCATACATAGCAGATCTTGTCCAAAACTTTAGGGAGCATTCTTCCATAATTTTCCTAGTAAATTCTTCCAGAAATTTAATAAAACATTCAACATTTGAAACTTTGAACTTCAAATATTATTCCTTCCATTAAGCTTGTAGATCAATTCTTTGAAAATAATTTTTATTTTCATATGATTTGATTGACACCAACTCTTTCTTTCTTGAACTAACCAATGTTCCTTTAGCAGGTCAATATTCTTTTCCATCGCATACTCTTCCTTTTTTGTATTCCTTGTACCAATCTTCTACAGATCTTCTATATTTTCTTTTCCATTTCTTCTCCCATAGTTCCATCTCATAATATCTTTCTTTTTATATCTTTTTGGATCTTCACCAAATCCTTCTTCATCAAATAAACCTGTATCAAAATAAATTTACCACAAGTAAATATTCTTTTATTAAAGCTAATATTGGTTTGTTCATCAAAATCAATAGGTGAAACCTCGGGCCTAACATAAACCGTAAAGGGTTATATCAACTCACCTCAAAACTCCTCAAGCAATATGTAGGCCCCAATCCAATTTATACCCCTCAAACAATCGATTCTACAAAAATAAGTATATTTTAATTAATTTTAAAGTTTCATACCTAAACATAAAACTTGTTGTTGATACAGAGAAAGAAGGGAATTAACTATTCAATTCTTACCTACTATTACTGTAGGATAATTGACAATAGGATATTTTATATACATGAGTTCAAGAATTAGTAATTTTTAAAGAAACCTAGAACTTCCCGTTGCCTACGTGAGTATTTCGCTGGGAGCCTCTGTTTCTTGCAACTTAAAATTCTGCTTCGTTGTTGTTCTATTTCATATAAGGAGGCTTTAAGCATTTTTACTTACATCAGCCCACTTTATGGGGCTTTAGGTCTAATCCCTTTTTTTTTTTTTACTTAACTTCTATTTAATGATACTGACTTCAAATAACTAATAATATTAACTTTATTAATATTCCTTATTTGTATATCTAATTATTCATAAATAGGGAAGTAATTCAAAAGTCAATCATAAGGGTTTAAATCCATAATAGAAGTATAGTTTTTATGCACTCAAGACAAGATTAAAAAAAAAAATTATATTGAGCGTGTTTGACAGTTTTATAAATTTGAGAAATATTATATTTATAATCTTTAAAATAAGACAAGTTAACTAATTGTGTATATAACTTAAATAAAAAATTTATGTGGCCGGACCAACTCGTTTCTAGAAAAGTACGGTCGGCCTCACAAAGCATATCCTTGTCTTAAAGCGTGTATCTCCATAACATACACCATAGTAATACCATATTTGCCTCTGCATCTTCTAGTATATTCCAATTAACAACTCAGGGATGAGAAATTATTTTCGGATAAAATGTGGGATTATTTAACTACTTTGGTAGAAAAATTGGTAAAACCCGACGAACATATGAAAAATGGAAGATATATTCCTCATTCAATTTGTCCAAATTGGACTGAGTTAAATAGAAGAGGTTAGAAGAGCAGATATGTTACAAAAATATATTATATTATGGATGTTCATTTAGTACTTCGTTGTAAATAAGCTTCCTGAAGAAGCTTATTCATATGGGACTCCGCCGTAAATATGTTTATCTATTTAGTACTCTATTGGAAATAAACCTCCTGAAGAAGCTTATCACTTCGGTACTCGGTTATGGATAAACATTATCCACGGTAGAAGATTATCCATACCAGGTACAATAAGCTTATCCTTTCCATACTCTGTTATGGATAAACATTAACCCCGGTAGAAGATTATCCATACCGGGTACAATAAGCTTATCCTTTCGATACTCCGTTATGGATAAATATTACCCCCGGTAGAAGATTATCCATACCTGGTACAATAAGCTTATCCTTTCGATACTCGTTATGGATAAACATTAACCCCAGTTGAAGATTATCTATATCTGGTACAGTAGCAGCTTACACAGCAGCTTCCTTTCTTCTATAAATAGAGGAGATTCCAGTTTATTATGTACATAAGTTTGAAGTTGAATAATATATCAGTTTCTCTCTATACTTGTATTTACTTTATAGTCTTTATTTTATAACACGTTATTAATACGAGACTCTGCCATCTCGAGCAAATACTTTGAAAGTATCAAAGGTACGAACTTTCTTTTTCTAAATAATGTCAAATCTCTCTAAAATTGAACTTATAGCCCTGGATATATCGGGCAAAAGCTACATGTCTTGGGTGCTTGATGCTGAAATTCATCTTGATGCGATGGGTCTGGCAGACACCACCAAGACAAAAATCAAGCATCAAACCAAGACCGTGCCAAAGCAATGATATTCCTACGCCATCACCTTGATGAGGGCCTGAAAATGAAATATCTTACTGTTAAAGATCCAGTCATACCGTGGAATAATTTGAAAGATAGATATGATCATCTGAATGGTCGTTCTTCCACAGGCACGTTATGATAAGATTTTAAATCTATCAGTGAGTATAATTCTGCTATGTTCAGAATTATTTCCCATTTGAAATTATGTGATGATAATATTACTGATCATGATATGTTGGAGAAAACTTTTACCACTTTTCATGCTTCGAATATGCTCCTGCAGCAGCAATATCGAGAGATGAGATTCAAAAAGTATTCTGAACTTATATCACATCTTCTTGTAGCCGAGCAACATAATGGGCTATTAATGAAAAACCATGAAATCCGACCTACTGGTTCTTGTCCATTCCCTGAAGTGAATGAGACGAACTTCTACCAAGCTAAGCATGGAAGAGGTCGTGGCCCCAGTCGTAGTCATGGCCATGGTCAGGGAAGAAACTTTAATCATAGTAATAATAATGCACCAAAGAACCCTGCTCACCACCAGCAGTGGAAAAGGAAGGAACAAAAGCATGAAGCAATGCAAGCACCAAATGCAGAAAATGCACGCTATAGATGTGGAGGAAAAGGGCACTGGTCACGTACTTGTCGTACGCCAAAGCACCTGGTTGAGCTTTATCAAGCCTCCATAAAGAAGATAGAGAAAAATGCTGAAGCAAATTTTATTTCTGAAGATAATTTGGACTTCATGCATTTGGAAGTAGCTGATTACTTTGCACTGCCAGAAGGATAAACAAGTCATGTGATCGGTGGTGAATCTGTAGAAATGTAAATATTTAATTTTTGTTGTTTGTAATAGATAGTATGGTTATGTAATTATTGTACATAAATAAAAGTTATGATTTGATAATAATATTTACTATAATATATTTTATTTATGTCATTTTGAAGAATATGGATAATCCTCAAATTATGTTTGGATCAAAGACCAATCATGAAGATATTTGTGTAATTGATAGTGGAACAACTCATGCCATATTCAAGGATCAGAAATACTTTTCTTATTTGCATAAGAAAAAAGCAAATGTTTCAATAATTTCTGGTAATATAAGTTTGATTGAAGGCTCCGGAAGAGCCATTATATTTCTGTCTAAGGGAACAAAACTTATTATAGACAATGCATTGTTCTCCTTCAAGTCCCGAAGAGACTTGTTGAGTTTTATAGATATCTGCCGAAATGGATATCATGTTGAGATAATAGATGAAATAAACGTGGAATATCTTTGTATTACAAAGAATATTTCTGGCCAGAAATGCATTGTAGAAAAGTTACCAACTTTATCTTCTGGCTTATACTATTCAAAAATTAGTACAATTGAAGCACACTCTATCTTAAACCAGAAGTTTACGGATTCAATTACTTTTGTGCTTTGGCATGGCCGTTTGGGCCATCCTGGATCAATAATGATGAGACGAATTACTGAAAATTCGAGTGGGCATCCGTTAAAGAACCTGAAGATTCTTACAAATGATGAATTTTCTTGTGATGCTTGTTATCAAGGCAAAATGATCAGTAGACCATCACCAATGAAGGTAGGCATTGAAACCCCTGCCTTTCTAGAGCGTATACATGGGGATATATGTGGACCTATTCACCCACCATGTGGGTTGTTTAGATATTTTATGGTCCTAATAGATGCATCTTCAAGATGGTCTCATGTGTTCCTACTATCATCTCGCAACCTGGCATTTGAAAAGCTACTAGCCCAATTAATTCGATTAAGGGCGCAATTCCCAAATTATCCTATAAAGGCTATTCGCCTTGATAATGCTGGAGAATTCTCATCTCAAGCTTTTGATGATTATTGTCTATGAGTTGGAATAAAAGTTGAACATCTTGTACCTTATGTTTATACTCAAAATGGCCTTGCAGAGTCATTTATTAAACGCCTCCAATTGATAGCAAGACCACAACTTACGAAAACGAAATTGCCCACTACTGTTTAGGGCCATGCTATCTTGCATGCAGCATCACTTATCTGTCTCAGACCGACACATTATAATAAATATTCCCCGTCACAATTAGTTTTTGGTCATTAACCAAATATTGCCCATTTACAAATTTTTGGATGTGACGTGTATGTGCTAGTTGCACCACCGCATCCCAGTATGATGGGCTCACAGACAAGGTTAGGAATTTATATTAGGTTTGAATACCCTCTATTATTCACTATCTTGAACCATTGACGGAAGATTTATTTACTGCTCGGTTTGCAGATTGTCGATTTGATGAAACAAATTTCCCACAATTAGGGGGAGAGAAAAAGGAAATCAAAAGAGAAATTGTGTGGAAAGTTTCATCATTATCTCACTTTGATCCACTTACCCCTATATGTAATCAGGAGGTCCAGAAGATCATCTATTTACAGAATATAGCAAATCAAATGCCAGACGCATTTACTTATTTGAAAAAGATAACTAAGTCACATATCCTTGCAGAGACTGTGCCTATCCGAATTGATGTCCCAGCAGGACCATCTACTAGCATGAGAGCTAGTGAACCCAAAGCACGCTTGAAGCGTGGTAGGCCTTTGCGTTCTAAGGATCAAAATCCTAGAAAAAGAAAATCGACAAATGATAAAAATAATACTATGAAGGGATCTCCTGACGAGACCCAAAATCTAATCAGTTCTGAAATTCCTGAAGAAATCAATAAACCCGAGACTCAAGTGAGTGAGGAACTTTTAATAAGTTCTACTGGTGATGAGGTTAATTTAAATCGATCTGAAATAGTGGTGGATAATATTTTTGCATATAATGTTGCACTTAACATTATGCAATATAATGAGAATCTTGAACCCCGATCTGTCGAAGAATGTCAACAAAGATCTGATTGGCCAAAATGGCAAGAGGCAATTCAATCGTAATTGAAGGCACTTGCTAAAATAGAGGTCTTTGGACCAGTAGTCCAAACAGCTACTGGTATAAAGCCAGTTGGTCATAAACGGGTTTTTGTGCGAAAAAGGAATGATAAAAATAAAATTGAAAGATACAAGGCTCGCCTTGTCGCACAAGGATTCTCACAACGACCTGGAGTCGATTATGAAGAAACATATTCACCTGTTATGGATGCCATAACATTTCGATATCTCATCAGTTTAGCCTTACGTGAAAGGCTTGAAATACATCTAATGGATGTGGTTACAACTTATCTGTAGGGATCATTTGATAATGAAATTTACATGAAAATCCCTGAAGGATTTAAAATTCCTGAAGCATATCCAAAATCTCGGGAAATGTATTCAATCAGATTACAATGATCTTTGTACGGTTTAAAGCAATCTGGGCGCATGTGGTATAATCGCCTCAGTGAATATTTGCTGAAAGAAGGTTATATAAATGATGTTATTTGTCCATGTATTTTTATAAAGAAAATGGCTTCAGAGTTTGTTATACTTGCTGTTTATGTTGATGACATAAATCTTGTTGGAACTCCAGAAGAGCTCCAGAAGGCAATTGAATATCTTAAGAAAGAATTTGAGATGAAAGATCTTGAAAAGACAAAACTTTGTCTTGGTCTGCAAATTGAACATTTAGCAGACGAGATCTTTATCCATCAATCTGCCTATACAGAGAGGGTCTTAAAACGCTTTTACATGGACAAAGCGCACCCATTGAGTACACCAATGGTTGTTCGATCACTTGAAGTGAATAAGGATTTGTTCCGACCTCCAGAAGAGGATGAGGAACTCCTTGGTCCCGAAATACACTATCTCAGTGCAATTGGTGCACTAATGTATCTTGCTAATGCTACAAGGCCTGACATAGCATTTTCTGTTAATTTACTAGTAAGATATAGTTCTTCTCCTACACGGAGACATTGAAACGGGATTAAGCATATATTGCGATATTTAAAGGGAACTCTTGATATGGATTTATTTTATGCTAACAAAGATAGTGCAGATCTTGTTGGTTATGCAGATGCAGGTTATTTATCTGATCCTCATAAAGCTCGATCTCAAACCGGGTACGTATTTATATATGGAGGTACTGTCATATCATGGCGCTCCACAAAGCAATCTATTGTTGCTACTTCTTCAAATCATGCTGAGATAATAGCTATTCATGAAGTAAGTAGGGAATGCATATGGTTGAGATCAATAATTCATCTTATTCGAGAAAGATGTGGTTTGGAATGTGAGAAAAGACCCACAATTTTATACGAAGACAATGTTGCATGCATAGCACAATCGAAGGGGGGTTTACAAAAGGAGATAGAATGAAGCACATTTCACCAAAATTATTCTACACACACGATCTTCAGAAAAATGGTGATATTGATGCGCAACAAATCCGCTCAAGTGACAATCCGGCAGATTTATTCACCAAATCTTTGCCAACTTCAACTTTTGAGAAGATGGTATACAAGATTGGAATGCGGAGACTCAAATATTTGAAACAAGATTTTCATCAGGGGGAGTAAAATACGCGATGCACTCTTTTTTCCTTACTAAGGTTTTTTTCCACAGGGTTTTCCTTATAAGGTTTTTAATGAGACACCTAGCAATGCGTATTACTAAATATGTGTACTCTTTTTCCTTCACTAGAATTTTTCCCACGGGGTTTTTCCTAGTAAGGTTTTAATGAGGCACATTATCTTTTAATGAACATCCAAGGGGGGGTGTTATAAATATATTATATTATGGATGTTCATTTAGTACTCCGTTGTAAATAAGTTTCCTGAAGAAGCTTATCCATATGGGACTCAGCCGTAAATATGTTTATCTATTTAGTACTCTATTGGAAATAAGCCTCCTAAAGAATCTTATCACTTCGTTACTCGGTTATGGATAAATATTACCCACGGTATAAGATTATCCATACCGGGTACAATAAGCTTATCCTTTCGATACTCCGTTATGGATAAACATTACCCCCGGTAGAAGATTATCATACCGGGTACAATAAGCTTATCCTTTCGATACTCCGTTATGGATAAATATTACCTCCGGTAGAATATTATCCATACCCGGTACAATAAGCTTATTTTTTCGGTACTCCGTTGTGGATAAACATACCCCCAGTTGAAGATTATCTATATCTGGTACAATAGTAGCTTACACAGCAACTTTCTTCTATAAATAGAGGAGATTTCAGTTTATTATATACATAATTTTGAAGTCGAATAATGTATCGGCTTCGCCAGGAAAGAAGCGAGGAGGAAGCGAAGCTGTCTACGAAGTTTTGCTTTCTATCTGTACTTGTCTTTACTTTGTAGTCGTTATTTTATAACAAGATAGACTAAAAAAATTGGTAGTTAAGTTCTCATAAGCGCATCACGTGTATTCATGCTTTTATTACTCACTCCGGAGTGCACAATCAGCTAAAGCCACCCCATTGTAATAGTGTTATCTCACACGTCCTCCGCCCCCCCCCCCCCCCACCCCCCCACACACACAAAAAAAACAAATTCAAACTTCTTCTCCTGCTCGCCAGCTCCTTCTACTTCTACACACTTCACCCAATATATACAACAGCAAACAAATACAAACAAGATATAAACGTTTTTCGTGTAAATCTGATCATGTATTTATCCACTCGCTGTTCTTCATCATCATCGTCATCATCCGCCTTTGCTTCCAGGCTTCGCTTTTCTTCCACTATCTCTACTGTACCTACGTTCACATCTACTTCCCCTGTTTCTAGAAGCTTCTCTTCTCCTTCATTTTCCCGCCATATTCAATCTGCAGCGCCGTTTTCTGTTAATTACCGATCATTCTCTTTCTCCTCTGC